AGCTGGACCGGGCTGCCCGCTCTGTCTGAGCATTCTCACTGGCAGGAATGGCCCTGCCCGGAAGGTCCCGCCTGCCCGCCAGGCGGGGTGGGGAGGGCGGGGCCCCTGCACTTTAGGGCCCGAGACGAGGCACCTCCCAGAGCCCCACGTCTTTCCCTGCCCCAGCCCGGCCCCACCGACTGGTGCGCCCCCTGGGCGTCCCCAACCGGCCCTGGGAGCAACACAGCTGAACTCGGCCCTTAAAACGTGGGGACAGTGAGGGGGTCACCAGGAGCTCAGGCTGTTCTCAGTGCCCTTGCCCCCAGAGGGACCCCCAACCCCAGCTGCTCCCCCAGGTGGCACCGGATATGTCTCCTGGGGGCTGACCCTGCTGGGGTGCGGGCGTGAGCCGGCCCTGCCCCTGTGCCCAGGGCGCCCTGGATGCCCCCCCCGACCAGGGGCCCCTTCCGCCCAGACGCTTGCTCTGGGGCCACCCTGGGCTCTAGGTCTCCACTTGTGCTGAGGGCTCTGGTCAGGCGCTTGAAGCTCGCAGAGGTCACAGCAACGCAGTGTGGCCAGCTGCGGCCCGAGCGTCAGCTCCAGAACTTTCCAGCACAGCCAGTGCCTGTGGCATCTGGGCGTTGCAAGGGGGCGGGGGGCCTGTGGTCCCGGGGTAAGCCAAGCCCTCTGCCCGCCTGCACTGAGTGGACAGTCCTGCAGCTGCGGGACCCAGCCCTGCTCCTGCGTCCCCTCCCCAGGGCCCCCCGACACATGGTGAAGCCAGGGGCACAGAGGAGCTAGGGGGGACTGACATGCTGGTGGTCAGGGGCCTTGTCCTCAGCACAACCATCTAAGAGGGCTCTCCCCATTTCTCAGAGGGCCCCCGGCAGGACCGAGTCCCTGTGCCCCCAGTGGCGACCTGGGCATCACTAACCTTTCAGACTCCACACCTCTCCCCCCGCGCATAGCCTAGGACGCCGGCTGGCTCCCACACCGGGGAGCTCTGCTCTAGACCACCCGCCTGCGGCAGCCGCCGGACACAGTGCGCAGAGTCTGACCTCGCAGCTAGGCAGCCGTGAGGGCCAGATCTGCTGCGGGCGGTGGGGACTTGCCATGAGACCACGCAAAGCCTGTGCTCCAGCGACCCTGGGCAGCGGGGGCAGCAGCCCAGAAGGAACGGGGTTGGCACCCCCCCAAGTGGCCCGGAGGTGCTGGGGGCCCTGAGCCTCAGCCACCTGCCCCCGGTGGGGGCGGGGTCCCATCACCACAGTCCACCTGACAGCCCTGCCCGTCCCCTCCCCGACCGCACAGACCTGTCCACCTCCACCCCCGGAGGCTGCACCCCTAGGTGTGCTTCTTCCTGCAGCCCCGGGCCACCCCCTCCCAGTCCCTGTATGCCTCCAGGTGATGGTCCATTGTGTGACTGTCCCCATTCGGCCACCGCAGGGTCTGTCTGGTAATCGCTGACTCACATAATTACATGTTATTTTGGGTCCTGAGGGGAAAGCCAAACGGAGCCGGGGACAGGGCTTGTTGTGTTTTAAATGCTTGGCCCGAGACAGCCCCACGGAGGTGACACTGGAACCCACAATTAGAGCCAGCGAGGGGAGCGGCCCACGCATCGGGCGGCCATGGCGGCTCCAGGTGGAAGGCACAGCAGGGCCAGGCCAGGGCAGGGGCAGATGGGCCCGGTGGGGGCAGCGAGCACGTGGGCTTCCCGCGTCCACGGATGAGGCTGAGTCCCTACCTCACACCATCTGCAAAAATGAGCTGACGGTGGACAGAAAGTACACACACGAGCTATAGATTCTTAGGAAAAGCCCCAGAAGGCAAAATCTTCACGGCCTTGGATTCTGCCAGGTTTTGAAACGAACAACCAAACCCAAGCAACCTGACGGCAAACGGCCGCACTGCCCCGTCAGAGACCCTCGTGCCAGGAGGGGCCGGCCCGGGAGCGCACGCCTGCCGAGGCCCGGCCGTGCGGACGCACAGCACGGGGCCCGCAGCCATGGGGAGGAGCGGCGGGGGGGCACGTTTCTCCAGGGGAGATCTACAGGCCAGTGAGCACGGCCGCCCGCCCGGGGGTAAGTGCTGGCTCAGGCCACGAGGTCACGTGGGCCACACCGGGCCGCAGGCCAACAGGCAGACGCCGGGGACCGGGTGGTTTCACGGCCCATGCCCCAGTGGCTCCCGCTGCCAGGCGGGCCGAGAGCGGGGGTCACCAGGCGGCCGGAGAGCAGAGGCAGCTGCAGGCCCCCAGCCCGAGGGGAGCAGGGCCCGTGGCGGGCGCACACTGGAGCGTACCCCGCAGGCAGGGACGGCGCCTCCCGCCGGCAAAGGGCACCAGGCCGCACACGGCGGCGTGGGCCTGCACCCGTGGGCCTGCGCTCCGGCAGCTACATGTGCGCACACCACGCCCTGCGGTGGGCACTGGGCTGGGCCGAGGCAGAGGCGGCCCCACTGAGGCCGGGGGCCTCTCTGGCCAGGCCCAGAGCAAAGGGCGGGAGACCCCCAAGGCCCCCAGGGCCCTGTGGAGAACAGGGTGGGTGCTGGGTCCCCCTCTGGTAGACACAGGGGCCTTGCACGGAGGCCGGTGTGAGCAGTGCCGGCAGGGAGGGCACGGGGGAGGCAGAGGAGGGCGCTCTGGTGACCAGGCAGGGGCGGGCCCACGGTCCGCGGCAGGCCTGGAGGGCCACTGGCCCTGGCTCTCCTGCTGGGTTCCACCTCCGGTGACACCTGACCCCTCTGAGCAGAGGGCAACCTGGAGCCCTGGGCCTGAGACCCGGCGTAGAACATGCCGGAGCCTGGACACCAGTGTGGCCCAAGGCCAAGACCTCCCTGTTGGAGTCTGGGTCCTTCCGGGAATGGGGGCACTGCAGGAGGAACATGGTGATGAAATGGGCAGGAGGACACTGGCGGGGAGTGGGGCAGAGCGTCCCCGAGGTCGCTCTCCTCACCCCCCAGGCTCTGCTCCTTTGCCTCCTGGGCCCTGGGGGAGGCCCCCTACCTCCCAGCTCCCCAATAAGGGGTGTGTTTTGTTTTCTGTTTCCTGCCAAGGCCGCAGTACCGGGAACGGCCGCCAGGGGGCAGGCCTGTCTGCCGTGTTCCCTGGGGCACCGGGCGCAGCCCCGCCTCCCGCACCACCCGCGGAGTCCCCGCCCACCAGGTGGCTGCCGGGGGTGAGGGAGGCGCAGGCTCCTCCCAAGAGCCCCCAGCTTCTCCCTAAACGGGGCTCTCGGGCCTGGGGAGAGTGGGCTGTCGGGAACCCCTGCCCCTCCCAGGAGCTCACAGCCTGGAGGAGGACGGAGGGGGCCCGGCGGGTCTAAAAGCCCCCCCCCGCCCCCCCACCGTGACATCCCTGCGAGGTCTGCAGGAGGAGCCACTGACTCCTGGACAGTGGTGGGCACCCCGGGGAGCGGGGCCTCAGAGGGAGGGGGCTTTGCACAGGGAGGTGGCAGGGAGGGGCAGGGCAGGCCTGGCAGAGACACCTGGGGCTGGCAGAGCAAGCGCCGACCACCCGCAGCTCCCATCCCAGGCCAGGCCCAGCTGGTCCGGACCTGGGCTGCAGCAGCGGGCCGAGCCCTCGGGGCAGGGGCTGCCTGCCGTGCCGCCAGCAGGGCCGGGGACGGGTTTCCGCCTGTCATCGGGGCGCCGCCAGTTCCCTGGGACACATAGGAGGGGCGCGGACGGCTGTCCCCTCTGCCCAAGCGGACAGAGGCGGCTGAGGAGAGGGGGACCGCAGACCAGGCCAGGGCCTCGCCGACCACAGACGGCAGACACAGGTGCCCATGGCCACCGAGGGCGGTTCCCCTTGCCCCGCGGGATATCGGCTGGCCGAGTTACAGGACACAGGGGAGCCGGTGGGCATTTAATCATGCGCAGAGGCCGCAGCCCAGGTGGGCCAGTTCAGCCAAGACCCTCCTGGGAAGGGAGCTGGGGCACAGGGACACGTGGCTGAGGGGACCTCACATGAGGGGCCTGGGGGGCTGCCGGCTGCAGCAGCGGCTGGGAGGAGGCCCAGAGCGCCGCGCCGCAGGGCCCCACACCCTCCGGCGTCACCCTCTGGCACCCAGAGAGGCGCTGCTGGGGGCAGGTGCCCTCACGGGCTCCGGATCTCCTGGTGGTTCTTGGGCACCGCCACGAACCTCAGCTTCTTTATGA